GCGTCGAATCAAGTAAAGGACCATTCACCCTATTTTCTTATCATGGAATTGAAGTTTGAATAAATGATAATACTGTATTCTGTACAAATTAAATAGATATGCATATTAATTACGGTTGCTAATGGAGTTCGAACCGGGACATTATTCTCTGTCGATTCCTGTTTGATTTATTTTACAGTTTAAATGCATTATGGTATCTGGTTTATCTATTCTATAGTTTTAAATGCATGTATCACTGCTTACTTCACTACTGTTTGATTTTAAGAATCTAAGATATGCTTGCTTTTTGTGGATGCACGTTACTTGTTTATGTATTTATGTTTGAGTTGGTAACGGAGACTAATGACAAATAGAAATGGGATGTGATTTGATCAATGGATAAGATGACAGCCTCACTAGATATCCTAGAAGATGGTGGACGGACTGGGTTCATAGGGAACCCTACCGTGAACGTTGTCTCATACCGGTCGGAGTATAGAGACTTGGTCATTTGGTGCTCAAACCGGACGAGGTATGGGGACGGCTTGTTTCACTTTCATACCGAATGGGGTATTGAGGTTTATTATTTTGGCGCTCATACCAGACGGGGTATGGAGACGGTCCTGAAATTAAGATTGTTAAGGAGAATGGTTCACGTGTAGCGGGGACCCCTATGGATCCCCATGGATACTAGTAGGCTGGTGAAAATGAGAAATGGTGATAATAAGTTATTGTTAATGAATACGGATTTATGATGTATTTTATATTACTGATTATACATGAAATTGTGATTTGTATGATGTTATTGTCCTTATAGGTTGTTTTCACAGGTTCTCCAAGAGTAAGGAAAAGGGTATATGGTTTTATTTCAAATAAATGTATTGTTTTAAAATTTGTACTCCATTGGTTATTTTCGGTTTTCTACCAACCTTTACTTCTGTGACGGTGATATAGTGTGATGTCCTTACTGGACTAGTGTAACTCATTCCTTATTTAACCATTTTAGATCAGGAAGACCTAGTTCCCGAGCCCGATCCACAAGAAGACGGCGAGTAGATGCTCGATGCTTTATAGTTTCTTTTATTTTTCTCATTTTTCGTATTTCTTTTAGAGAACTTATTTTGTGATATTGTTTAGTACTTTTAAGTTATTATGTAAGGGATGTTAATCTTAATCTCTTATTTCACTTTCGCATCTAAATTATTATATGTATTTCCTTTTGAATTTCTGGGGTCGTTACAATTGGTATCAGAGCCGCGTTCCTCGGACTCATCCCTTACACAATAATACTTAGAGAAACACCAAACCAATGAATCATTACTTAGCCCTTTCTTGTGAAATGCAGGTACAAAGAGATAAGAAGAGGAAGACCTCACTAAACCGAGCAGCCCGTGATGGTTCGCTTCAGGAAGACGTTGATAAGATATTTGAGATGCTGGAGAGACTTATTGCTGCCTAGCAGGGTCGAGAGGAGAGAAGGGAGCTACCTGACCCTCCCCCACTGCCATAGGTTGAGCCACCACTACAGCGAGAGGATCCCGAGCCACCCCGGTATGAGACTGCTCCTCCACAGTACCACCCAGTGCCACCACCACAGTATAATCTGGTGCCCCAGCCACAGTACTGCCCGGCACCGCCACAGTATAATCCATTGCCCCCACCATATCAGCAAATACCACCACAGGACCCCCTAGTCTATCCTCAACCTGGCCCAGTCCCTCTTCCACGGGACCCAGCTCCTTCCATGATTGACCCAGGCTATATAGAGAGGTACAGAAGACTGAACCCATCTACTTTTGCAGGGGAATCCTCTTTTGAAGATGCCTAGTGCTGGTTGCCGGAGACGGTGAAGGCCTTCAAGACCCTATGGGTGACTCCCGAGCAGAGGGTCACCTTTGCTACCTACGTGTTGGTGGGAGAAGCAGACCGCTGGTGGAAACTAAAGCAGACCACCCTATTTGTTCCAGTTACTGGA